CCCCCTACCTCCACCCCTCCCCCACCCACTTCACCCACAACCTCACGCTATATAAAAATAAAAAAAAAAAAAAAAAAAAAAAAATAAAATTAAATATATACAATTGTTTCTTTATTTGTTTTTTTTTTTTTTTTTTTTGTTTGTTTTTGGGGGGTGCGGGGGGGTGGTCTCCTTGTTTTGTGGCGGGGGGGGGGGGGGGGGGGGGGGGGAGCAATCCCTTTGTGGCCTTCATGGTATGTGTCGCTGACCTGGGTATAGTTTTCGGCCGGACTTGAGTTTTAAACACGGTACACAATTTCACTAATATTAGGGGGCTTAAGCGACGAAACGGCAACGACTGACGAAAAAAAAAGTAATAGGTTTATATTAGCAAAGCAACAACTTTGCACGTGCTTTTCGCTTTTTTGTACACTGTTCTTAGCCTTCGTCAGGGGCACCCAACGAGATATAGTTCAAAACCACTTAACATAGCATTGTTGAACGCATTTTAGTATTCAAAACGGTAGATATAGGCATATTTTTATCCCCTAAAAACTTTTCATCTGTTCGGATTTCCTAGCTGAAAGTCTAGTGATCCGAAAATTATAGGGATAAAAACTTACCTTCTCGAAAATTCCAGCCAGGAAAAGGCTCCCGAAAATTCTAGGTGGCCTTTTTTGGGGTCAAAATCGGTTAAAAATGGGTAATTATACCATCTTGTAGATGTTCGAAAATCCTAGGAGAGGCAGGCAAGTAAGAAATTTTACAACAAATGTTCCGAAAATTCTAGATCTCAAATCGTCTTCCGAACAGATATTTTCCCGAAAATTGCCGTTGGGTGCCCCTGCTTCGTTTTTGTCGTGACGGGAACACAGGACAACAAATTTCTTTTTCTCTTCTTGAACTTTGACACGGTCCTTTAGAATTCAACTCCAAAAAAATTGCCAACATTTGAAGAATTAAACGAGATGGAATAAGAGCGATAAAGTCTGAAGCAGCGCGAATTGACTTTTTGAGTGACGTTTTCGTAGCTGTCGCCGTCGTTGTTGCTTACTTTTAGGACCGGAAGCCTTTATAACAGTATGAAGACTGCAAATAAGCGGTCTACATTTGTGGTACCAACAATTTTTTTTCTTAAATTTACCTAATTCTGTATGCAAAAGGTCATAAAATAAGGTGTCTTGTTTTAAACAAGGTAGACAAGTCTCTATCCAAATTTCTCTTGGGTGCCCCCTCCCCCCACCCCCCCGAATCGAATGTCTTGAATTGGTCAAAAACCGATGCCGGAAGCACTTAGTTTTGTTATTTTTGGTGAAATAATCGTTTCCTTGACTGGCGCTTTATGGTTTTTTGCTGAACGCGCGAGTCTATTCATTAGAATGCCGGCGCAATTCAGTCTTGGTATTAAGAAAGGAAAGTGATACTTTCTCAGTTTTCTTTTAATCTTACCATCAGAGACTGCCAAGAACTTTGAAATTTCTCATTCAAATTAATTCAAATGCACACCAGTCATACGCATACTTATTTAAATCCTGATAATGAATTTTATTTTTCAATTTGTTTGACCATTTTTTTTTATCGCAGTTTCTACAATCCTAAACAATATTGCACGTTTTATCCTTCTGAATTATTTCACCCTTCAACCGGTAGATTATAATCTCAGAATGTTTGTCAGGCTTGCTTAAAACGGCAAGCACTCGTAAAAAAAAAACAACAACTTTGTTCTTGCTATACTAGGCTACGTAAATGATAGTATCATCTCGCTCATCGCATCAAAGGCCCAATAAAAACGCCTTTGGAAAACTGAAAACGAATTGCATGGTTATATTTTCGCATTTCATTTCCCAGCTCACTTTGCCATAGATAAGTTGAAATTATCTCGTATGCAAATTGATACATAAATCTATATACATGTACACATGGCCTCTCAATTCAGTCCCTGAACGCTGTAAAATGCTATACCGAAAGAGACAACTCTCCAAAATCTCTCAGTCAAGTGTGTCGCGAACGACAGCGCCCACATTTTAAGCAGAAGGTTAAAATGTTCCATTGTTTATAGCCCCTGGTCCTGATAATTGAAATCGACCACTTCACAGAATATCTCATCCCACCAAATGCAAATGTTAAGTAGTGCCGTACATCCGGCCTAATATAATTCATAATCTAAACTTACTTGTGACAACCGATCGAATTCAGGTGTGTGTTATAAAACCGTTTATATCATATGATTACACTTGGCGGGTTGCGTACGTCAGTCTATAAGGAAATTAGCTTGTTAGAAATAGCTGGAATTTTTCAGCTGCTTAAAAGTCACGTGACATCTATCACTGAACTGCTCCCCCGACAGAATTCATTGACGTCAGACCGAGGCCACCACTGCTTTCTTTTGATATTGGATCTACTGATATCTATTACGACTAAGAAAAATCACTTAATGGTCACTCGACTCGGGAAGCAAGTTAATTTTGTTTCCCTGGCAATGTTGACCTCCTCTGACATAACCTTTCGTTAATTTCCTTAACGATTGATTTTCATTTTGCCAAAACTTGACCTTGTCAATGTTTGGGAGGTCACAGGCGACCACCCAACATTTGGTGTTGTTGTTGTTGCAATAGGCCAAGTTCTAAGTAACATCAACACCTGCTGGAAACACGTGTCTCGCGAACCCTCGCAAAACACGGTGAGCCACTCTAGAAGGCCACTACCGAGTTCCAAAAGTTCTCACTTTCAAAACGAGGCTAAGTGCAAAACCTTTCTCGAAAAAATAAGTTTATTTGCATGAGAATGAAAAATGACTTAAATAACAATGGCTTCGCACTTATGGCCCACACCCAATCTTGGTCATCGGATGATCGCCAGGAAAGACGATTGGTCATGATTCCTTTCGCAAAATATCGCTACTTGGCAACTCATGAATGAGTAAGCCATTAATGATTCAGTAACTGTAAGCCCACATTCGATATATTAAAATTCTAACATGACTCTGAGGCTCTCTGGTCATTTTTCTATATTTGCTTTGGTTTTCTTTGTCTCTTCTGGGAATTGAGACAATGTAGTCGTGAAATCTTTGCAATTTTGACCCTAAACCCACGGAGTCACCTTATTAGAATTTTAATGACAGAGTAGAGATTCTTCTGTCGCGACAATTTTAATTTGTAGCCTGATCAAAACGAGGCGTCGTCAAACGTCATCACTGATGAAGGGATCCAGATGGGTTCCGAAAGCTCTGCTAAACTTTCAACAAATTGTTGGTGACGAATAATATTTTTTGTAATAGAATTTTTATATATCGAACATGGGCTATTGTCTACTTTAACCAATAGACCTTTTTCAAAATGGTGGCCTTTTAATATAATCTTTTATACGTATGATAATTAGCCTTTCTGGCCTCGTTTGAAAGTAAGAATTCTTTTGTACTTTGCACATGCTAAAGAGGCCAGAAAGGCTAATTATCATACATATAAAGAGAATATGTTAATAGACCGCCATTATGGAAGAGGTCTATAAGCTGACATTTCATGACAACAGTAGCCTCTGTGCTATAAATATAGCTTTGGCCTTGAGGAAGGCTAATTTTGTTAACCGAAATATTGGCCTATAACTAGTAATAGTTAACACTACAGTTGCCCCCTTTCTGTATACTGTAAATCAGCCCTTTCTCGTATTGCCAGCCTTGCATTCAGTTTTGTTTTATTTTACACTTTAAGTGACACTTGGCTACAGCATCTCTTTAATAAGAGATCCGGCAAGAGGAACCAGTCAGTTATATTTACGTGTTGCGTGGACCTCTGCATTGAGGCAACTTTTCCTATGGGATAAAGGTTATAGTGTTTTTAAATTTATTTCTGACTGATTCACTACAAAGCTATGTATACTAACCTACAAATGCTAAACCAAGATTGATTAGAAGCACCGAAGACTCATTTATAAAAAATATTCACAAATTCCAGTCAGAAGAAGACCTGTTCCTGTACAACTGTCTGTATTGTTTTAAACTCAAACTCTGGCATCCTCTCACTGGTATTTGTGAATATTTTACTGTAGGCCGAGGCTAACCCTGTCTTAATGAATCTTGAGTACTTCTACTTAGCGGCCCCAACGAATTTGAAACTGGACTATTGAATGTGGATTAAAATAAAAAATACTCGATTATTCTGAAGCGGGAAAAAGGCTGGGAAACGACAAACCTAATTTGTTGCGCCCGCGATACAAAACTTAAATACCCTCATGCTTGCAAGGGCCTTTCCTAAGTTGAACTCGACACGGTGGCGATATTTTATCCGCAAAATTTGCCACCTTACAAGGAAAAAGGGCTAGTGACTTCAATGCAGCAGCCCTGTGTGAGGATTCCTACAAGAATTCAAGTAGATGGATTAGTGCTTAGAATCCGGCAGATACTTGGCAGTGGGGCTTTTGGTGTCGTTTACAAAGCTGTCGATGAAGAAGAACCGTGGAAAATCTATGCGTTGAAGGAAGTCCTTTGTTTGAATGCTTCCCAATTTCACAATGCTGTTCGAGAGGTTCAAATTTTAAAACAACTCTCGCACGAGAACGTAATTTCCCAGATAGGAGTCGACCACTTGCACGATGCCCAAGGTTTGCATATGTTGATTTTGACTGAGTTTTGTGTTGGGGGAAACTTGAACGAGCGCCTCCATCGACCGAGTAGTGATGAAACCAACGAAAGGTGGATTCGTAAAATATCCAGCGCTGTTGCCTACCTCCATTCGCATGATATAGTTCACCTCGACTTAAAGGCTGATAACGTGCTGCTAACTGCAACGAGTGATATCAAATTGGCCGACTTTGGTTTGCCTCAAAAATTCATCGCAGTCAAACAGTTTGTGGAATATGGCGACGATGGATCGGGCATGATGAGTTATATTCAAAATTACATAGATTCAAGGGTTGGCCCGCCACATTGGGTGGCTCCTGAATTTTTCCACCGCCGGTACAACAAGAAAGCCGACGCTTTTTCGCTTGGAACCTTAATTTTCGGAATCCTTGAGCGAGATTTTATCATATATAGAGGCAGAGCCTATTACGGTGCTTATGTATCCATTCCTCAGGCTGACTTCCGCGGCCACTTTCGGCTGGGTAGAGTCTGTAGAGTTGGCATTGGGTTTGCAATGGCAACGTATGATCCAAATATCACCATTCAATTTTCAAGAGCTCGTGCACAAGGATCAAGTGCTTTGCAAAGAATCGCTCTAAATGCCATGCAATACAACAAAGATCGCCGTCCAAGCGCAGCGGAAATTTATAACCGAGTCAGGTGCATCCAACAATGGAATGCCCCATGATCCTTGGAAACAGCACAGAGGAGGCTTTTCAGTAAACTTCGGAATCAGGCTGCAAAGCTGTTACTAACCAACAAGATAACTTATAAAACTGACAACCGTTCCAGAAGAAATACACTTTCGATAACAAAGCGAAGGTTCTTTTCATTATATGCAAGTTTTACCTCGACAAATCTTATGGTTTTCCCACTATAGTTACAGACTAAAATGTTTATAACAGACCGGTCCCGTTTCGCAGGTAAGCAAATTTTAAAGCGAGTGAAATGGAGCAGAAATACTGTTTTTAAGACGAAACTATGTGCGCTTGAGTTTTTGACAGCACTCCCTGGTGGGATTCTTGCATCAGCTAGTCGCAAATTTACATAGAAAGTCAAAACAAATTATTAATTCGAGAACTTCTTTTAGTATTTGTCAGAATTTTAAGTATTTGGTAAGCAAAACGAAAATGGAACCTGATTCATCTAGGTTATCTCTGGGAGAAATGATACACTCGGTTAACAAATCAAAGGAGCACAACATCCATTGATTTCAGGTGCGAATAGGATGAGAAATCAAAGGTTTCCGAGGACAATAAATAAAAGACAAGTATGGGTCGTTTCCAGCTTTTTCCTAACAAATGACTTATAGTAATTATTGTTATTGTTGTTATTACTTTTCAGAAGATGAATTTGTTTATTAATCAAGTAAATTCTAATCTACACCTCAACAACTAAACTATCCTCAATACCGTATACGTTTTAAGTGAAGTCTATGCGGATAATATATTCACAATTCTTTAAAATGTTTAATAAGGATTTCTTTCTATGTGTAAAACAAGCTACAGTTAAAATACGTGTCATCACAGGCGAAAATTAA